CAATAAACATGGAACAATGAGCAATAAAAAAGGAGCAGCAATGAGCAAAAAACCTGGGCTGGATAAACAAAGGAGCAATGTGAAAGTGCTCCTTTGTCAATCCTGATGCTTGAGTCTTGAGATGAGTGTCACGTGTTGCAGATATTTGTGAAGCTTAAAGGAAGTTCACGGTTCATGATATTGAATGTGGAGAATGCACAGACAGAGTGGTAACACAGAAGACTGAGAATTGCCTGCAACATCATGAACTGGCAGGATCGCCAGGTAATTACAACCTAACAATAGGGTTTTAGATAAATACAACAGCAAACAGGAGTCAGATAAAATACTTTTACAGCTTAAGCTTGAGCATTTCTCAACCTTTTTTTCAGTCATGGCACCTTTGTGGCAAACCAGTCAAAAAAATATTTTAAAAAGGGGGTCGCCTACAAAATTCATACTAGGCTTTTCTCCCAGATAGGCATCTGATATGGATCTTAAGGGGGATACCATGCAGAAACACAAAACAAAAGTGGTGTTCCTCCCTGGATTAGTGCCATTCGTTTTAGTGGTGCTTGCAGCTGGCCTGTCTGCACCATGGAAAGACAGGACGCTGTGTGAAAATTTTGAGACATCCCTGAGGAACCCAGATGACACCCCAGGGTGCTGCAGCACCCTGGTTGAGAAAGGTTGCTTTAAAGTATAAGTCCAACCAAAATCCTTTTCTCAATTTTAGATGGGGTGGGAAAGGATTTTACTGCTATTTGGAGCTCTGAGATTTCTCCTCACTTAGTTGAGTAAGTTCCAAAGGGTAAGGAGATACCTCATTCATTCAAAATGTGCATCCACTACTGTCTGCACATTGCACTTTCTTCCAGTGTTCTAGAATAGGCGGCAACGTGAATCCCTGGAGAATCAATCTTCTGCAAATTGTATCAATTGCTTATTCCAGGCCTTAGCAATTGTCTGCTAATAACACATAAGTAGTTCGTTTGAATTGAGGCTTAGTGAGGAAACGGGCTTGGGATGGAGAAACCTTGGGTGCCTTATTTAACTGTTATTAAATAAGGATTGCAGCAGTTTAAACTCTCTGGTCCAAAATCTGCTCAGCATGGGAAGGGTCCACCAGATTTACTTCATATCACCTATAACATTTTTTTTTAGCAGAGGTAGCTTTTTATTGTAAGATTTCTAGTCCTTCTCCACTCTTTCCAAAACTAAAAAATACACATTAGGTTGGTAACTTCCAAAGGGTCAGGAGACACCTCATTCATTCAAAATGTGCATCCCCTACTATCTGCACATTGGACTTTCTTCCAGTGTTCTAAAATAGGTGGCAAAGTGAATCCCTGGAGAACAATGTCCTGTTGTATGACAACTTTTATTCTGAAGGACACTGAACAACAATGTTCTCCATAAGGTCCCTTGTGTGTTCCATACACAGTAAACATATCAATACAGTGTAAAACTCTCTGCTGGTGAATGGTTAGCATTCATATTAGTTTATACCATATACAGGATGGTGTCAACAGTTTAGGCATATGATGAACTTTATATCGTCAATACATTTGATAAAATAAAGGTTGGCATGTAGCAGCAGTTGTTGTGCTTAAAAGATCATTGTGAAAGTCTTCGTAACTCTAGTAATGAAATCTCACCTGTGTTTGGGACACTGTCAAAGGATATCGGAACAATATCCATGTAACTCCTTCACTACAAGGAGGCATAGTAAGAGAGCCTTCATATACCCAGTAATCACGGAGTAAAGGGTCTGGTTTGCAGAAAAGAAAACAAAGAACATTGCACGTTAAATATAAATTCACTAACAAATGATTCCTTCTCACTCAAAGTAACAGCTGCTACAATATTTCTGTATTATAGAGAAAAGCTCTCAACACATGAAGATAGTACAACATCCACAGACAAAGAAATGCACCCCATATTGTGATTTCTTTTGGAAACATCTAAGGGATCGTTCACACCCTGGTGCATTGAGATGCATTCATCTACATTTATCAATGTATATCTGCAAAGAAGAAATCAAGGCAACTGGATTTGCTGTATTTTTCCTGAAGACGTTTCGCTGGTCATCCAACTAGCTTTCCCTATACAGAATGAAAGTAACTAAGAGATCACTTTGTCAATCTAGGACAAGCAGGCAGTTTTTTTTTTTTTTTTACAGATATACCATGACTTGGATGAATGAGAACCTTCACAGACATTTTGATTAATGTAGGCTTAATGCAAGGACACTTTAAAAACAATTGCTATCTATGTGATACACTTATGCGGTCGTGTGTACTGTATAAGGAAAAATGTAGGCATGCTGCATTTTTTTGCAATACAACACACAAAAACACGTCAGCATGTGTCAATGTAATGCAATGCACTTATCAAAATACAAAAAAATGTTAGTATTTTGACCCTTGATGTGACCTGTGCAGAAAAAAATGCATCTCAGTGTGAAGAGAAATGCAGCACAACTTGTTGGGAAAAAAATGTCAGCATGCATCGATGTGCATGTCGTTCTGTTTTTGTGTGTTGTGGTGTAACTATAACTTAACTATATCAAGGGAATTCCACAACTCAAGTAGAGGTTGAGGGCAAACCCCTCACTTCTTCTGTGTTGTCAATCAAAGCCTATACTCCCTGGCTTTGTTAAAATTGCTTGCTTGCGTTAGATTGACAAAGTGATCTCTGAGTTCCTATTTTATTGCCAGTACTAAATAACAAGTCTGAAGTTTTACTCATGATGCTTCAACTAAAATAAAAAGACAATTTATATTAAATAAAACTGGTCACAGCATATAGTTACGAAGTGTGCATTCAAAGAGATCATGGCTAGGACTCCTAATAACATTATTACTTCAAAATGGGAAAACAGATGAGACTTTTACCAAGGGTCTGCAACACCAGAAATCTGTAATTCATTTGGAACTAGGACACTATTATCCCAAAATGTTAGGGTAATGGCATCCTAATTTTCTTTTTAATAAAAATTGGAATCATTCATATGGTTTAATTTCCAGAGTTTTTAATTATTTGGAATAAATAAACAGTGACCGAGATTCACCAGTTTGTACATTTGATAGGCACTGTCGTACAGAAAAGATGTACAATGCAAGATTGTGTTTGTGTCCATTGTTATCAAACATAGAATGTCTTCGAGCCTCAGTGGAGCTGAATAAGCATGCAAAAAAAATCTGGTTTGTTTATCATGCCACAAGATACTAACCCAGTAAGAGGTGTGAAAGGAAGTATTAGTGAACCAAAAGGAAAACATGGTCAATGTTGAGAACTCTTGTAGGGAAATAATAAAGACAGAGAATGAGAGAGAAGTGGAGAACTATAGAATGATAGGAAAAACAACAGGAAAAAAGGGGTATGGCAAAGGGGGAGGGGGGGTAAGGACACCGTAACTCCCCACACGGTTCTTCGAAGGTAGGAGCCCAATAACAAAGTTAAGCTTTCAGGCAAAAGAGAAGCATGGGGGTATTGATTCCAAGGAGTCAAGACAGTATGAAATCATTGTGTAGTATATTAGTAGGTCTCTTATTTATAAAAAATGATTCCATATTTTGTCTGACTTCTGCAAATAGTATACATTGCTTATTCCAGAGCTCAGCAATGGTTTGCTTGGCTGCCAATAACATATACAGTAAGCAGTTAGTTTGAATTGAGGCTTACTGAGGAAATGGATTTTGGGATGGAGAAGTGCAAACCTTGGGTACCTTGGAAAAGTGTTATGAAATAAAGATTGCAGCAGTTTAAACTCTTTGGTCCAAAATCTGCTCAGCATGGGGAGGGTCCAACAGATTTACTTCATATTACCTATAAAATGTCTCTGAAGCACAGGTCAGAGTGAGAAGGATAAAGATGCAAATATTTGACTGGCACCATATACCAGTGCGCGAGGACCTTAAAGGTAATGTCTGGATTAAAATAATAATCATAATAAATGCAAACTTCCTCATAAAACAAGCATTTGCATTCATTATTTTTTTGTGTTGGAGTCAGTAAAGCATTGCTACCACAATCAGGATTGCTGGTGCAATGCTCTGGCTCCTGCAGATTCTTTCTCCTGGGAGGAAAAGCAAATGGACGACAAGTGCAGTGATGTCACTGCACTTTGATTTCACTGAGAACTATGAGTCCCTCTGCCAGGCTATTGGGACTTGTAGTTTTTCCATTCACAAATCCTGTCAAAGGATTTGCAGTGTGACCATGTTTCATGGTATACTCTAAATATGGGTGTAACATGAAACCTAGTCAAAAGGTAAACTTAACCTTTAAATGCCACTTCAACAGCAGCTATACTGACAGAACAGGAAGCAACAGTGGACCAAATTTGTTGCAAATCAGCCTCAGTTTTCGGGCGTTTGAGATCGGTCTCCCACTTGGAAATGTAAGCCTGGGTATTGTGCTTAAATAGGTGATTAAGCTGGGAGTAGATAATAGAAATCAATTTAGGTGAGACGCACAATAGAAAAAAGTTCAAAACAAGATCATTGATGGTGAAGGCCCCTATTATATCATTTTGATGAAAGCCAATGTTTAATTTACATATATCAGAAAATTTGTGAAGGACCTTAAAGTAGTAATACACTCTCAAACGTTTTTCAATACCGTATATACTCGAGTATAAGCCGTCCCGAATATAAGCCGAGGGGGGCACTTTTCACCCAAAAAAATGGGCTGAAAATCTCGGCTTATACTCGAGTATATACGGTAATATATCCAGATCAACAAATACAGATTGCCCAGCAAAGTATTCCTTAAAATTTTATGGTATTTATTTCCCCTATACAAGAAATAGTGAGTGGCAACGTTACATTTTTGAGGTTCCGAAAAGTTGGAAGGTAATTTGCTGAGTATAGAGAAGGTGTATAACTATGTATTCTTTATGTCATTTAGGCCATTTGAATTTAAAATTTTGTGTGAAAGAGGTTATTATGCCTACAGGGAGGGATATGTTGAGGGCCAACGATTTGTTAATAGCTAGGCCAGAAAAAATGAAAATTTCCTGAGAGTGGAAAGTAATTGGGGAGGATGATGAGTGGTTGCATTAAATTTAGGAACCAATCATCTGCCAATACATGTATTTTATAAGATTTGGTGTCAGTGTCTGCAACCCCCCTCTGTCAATCCCTACACTGGCTTCCAACAGCCCAAAGGATAAAATTCAAAATATTAACAACCACTTACAAAGCCATCCACAACCCTGCCCATGGCTATATCTCAAACCTGGTCTCAAAGTATCACCCTAACCGTCCCCTCCGCTCTTCACAAGACCTCCTGCTTTCCAGCTCCCTCATCAACTCCCCCCATGCTCGCCTCCAGGACTTCATTAGAGTCTCTCCCATCCTATGGAACTCTCTACCCCAACCTGTCCAATTATCTCCCACACTGACTGCCTTTAGGCGATCCCTTAAGACTCATCTCTTCAGGGAAGCCTATCCCACCTCAACCTAACCACTGAACAATCACTTTCTCAAACAATCATCCCCACACAGCTACCTCCTCATGTATCAATTGCCCCTCCCTTTTAGATTGTAAGCCCTCACGGGCAAGGCCCTCCTTACCATCTTGTCTTGAATTGTATTGTGATTATAATGTCTTCCTTATATTTTAAAGCGCTGCGCAAACTGTTAGCGCTACATAAATCCTGTATAATAATAATAATAATAATAATTTGGTTTCCAAATCTACCCCATGTATGTCTGGAATATTTCTAATGAGGTGTGTGAAGGACTCCAGGGATAATATAAACAGTATAAGAGAGAGGGCACCATTGATGAGTCCCCTTTACTATGGAAAAAAGAGTCAGAAAAGTGATTAACATATTGTACCTTGGTCTACAATACAACACTTTGAGCCAGAAAAGGAAGTGATGCTGGAACCTCGATCTTTGTAATGCATAATGCATATAATCTCAAAACAAAACATCACAGCTGCAAGAAGTCTGCCTTCAAATTGTCTGTGCCTGGAATGTGAATGATGGACAAGGGTTGAACGTGAACTTCTGCCTAGGACAGGATTCTTTCTACACTTCTGTGTAGTTTTTTTTTTTTTAAACGCTTTAAACTTACACCATTGTCGCCGCGCGCTCTGGCCCGAGAATCCTAAACTGCTCGGGCGGCCGCAAAGTATCCTAGGGCAGGCGCATGCGCAGTTTGGATTTTCGGCCGTGAGATGAGCAGAGACGCAAGGTACGTCTATGGACGCGTGCACCCGCATGCAGACACCGCGGGATCGGAAGTGCCAGCAAGGACAGAGGAGTCAGCTCTGGATCGGAGAGCCGCCGCATCGCTGGAGGGACAGATGAAAACATCAGGAATGAAGAGGAAGATTGGATCAAGATACATCATTTAGGGTAAGTGCTAACATTAACATTGGGGGGAGGGAAAATATTTTTTTACTTTAATGTCACTTTAAGTTGAAGGGGTCGTAATTGAAATTGGGCAAATTGGACTGCCTCAAAAGAGGCTACCATCAGGCCCAGGACACGCATGCAGGAAGACTCCTTTTTGATTTGGAACTTGAATAGGTTGGAATAGAATCCCTTAAACCTTTCTGATACAGGAAGTTTGGATGACATTAAACAAGGAGAGGGTCTAGTGCAATAAAGGTGGGAGGGGGGACTCCAGTTCAAGGTCAACTGTACCCTTTCTGTTTTTCTTTTCCTATTTGTTGTTACATTGTTTGTCTGTTTTGGAGCTGCAAAATCATGCATCCAAAGTAAGTTTTTATGGACCCTTGAATTTGATTATTATCAAATTATTGTTCACGTACATATTTTGTCTACCAATCTTTTGTGTGCTTATATGTTCTTTGTTGTATTGAATTACAGAGTAGTGCAGGGCTGTTGGCATAAACTCTAATCACTCCACAAATATAGGGATATAATGGTGTAAGGCTGGATTCTTTGCCATGAGTTTAGTCCGTTCCCCTAATGTTTGACACACTAACATGTTGGCAGGTTGCAATGCAGGGACTGCTAGTGAAAAAAAAGCTTTGTATAGAATCTCCAAACACGTATCTATGGTATCCTTAAAAGGAGAATTATGGGGTGAGTTAAAAACACTCCAAGAACACATACCGCCAATCGCTGACTTCCCATTGCTCTCCCTGCAGAGAGTGGTGACAGTCACTGCACCCCGCAGGGATTTCCACTTTCGCTCTCTGTTTCTCCAGTGCTGACTGGAGGAATGGATGGGTGAGGGGACGAGCACAGCTTGCTCTGTCTCTAGAGAGGCAGCGCTAGCTGTCAATCAGCCAGTGAGGTGAATCTTGGCAGTATTGTCAGGAAGCGTCCCAGCTGCGGTTGCTATATACTGATTTTTGGGTCACCGGCGGACATTAGTATATGTCCTCCTGTGATCCTGAAGAGAACTATGTCCAAAAAAGGTTAGGGCATAGTTCTCTTTTAAATACTGGGGCATCCTCTACAGGAATCATTAGCGCTTTATTAAGATGGAACGCTGATGGATCAACTGTTGCAATTCTTATTTAAAGACCTCAAACAGGTATTGCAATGCAAAATGTTTGGTAGGTGTAAACTTTATCTGGAGTTTCCCTGTCAGTGGATGGACTTCAGTACAAATTAGTAAACTAAACATGAGGTTGTAGCTCATCGGGGGAGTGAGTTTATAGCCTAGTTACTTTACAACGCACACAGGGGCCATGGGGAACAAAAGTAGCCACCCTCCAGAAGGAAGGACAGTGTCAGCATGAATTCAGAGATGATTTGAGGATCTACAGCCGAGTGATATACAAATAAGCTACATTTCTGTTGATAGTTAGGGTACTTGAATGCATTTTTAAGATGTAACTCCTGAGTTTAGTGCCACTTTAATCTTTCCTTGTAAACCAGTGGAAAAAAGGGGTTAATAATGGATAATAACATCACAGGTATAACGAATGAAGTAGCTCCCAGTGCCCGGCCCACATGGCCTACGTATTAATCGTAGTCTTCAGAAACTGGGTCACACTGCAGGCTGTCCCATGGGTCTGGAACTAGAAAGTGCTCTGTGCATAACACTGTACACAAAGGTCCAGAAAGCATCCCAAGCGCCCAACGCCAGAAGCGGTCCAGTCCAGTAGGGTCTGAGTACAGCCTTCACACTATTGCTGAAGATACGCCAAAAATCTTTGTCCTGCACTGGGTCTAGTTTCATTAAAAACCTCATGCATGCCTTTATTCTGTGTCTTTCAGCTACCAATTACAATGTTTTCTTTTCAGTTGTATATCCTCTATAGGAACTTGCCTTACACTAAGGGGCATAGGGCTTATCAACATGGCAGTGTTCCCATGTACAAGATTGCCACTGGAATGCATATTTAGGGGTCTATTCACGAAGCTGCCGAAGGATCTAGCCGTAGCTTCGGCCGATCCTTCGGCTAGCTTCGGTTACGGGAGTCCATCGGTTAATTCGAACCGAGAGCCTGCTGTACGGGCTATTCACAATAGCCCGTGCAGCTCCCGATCATGGCCGAGCGGCTCAGCCGAGCCGAACGCATATGCATCGGCTTGGCTGAGCCGTGCTGAAAGCCTGTTTCTGACAGCTGGGCGGAGCCAGCCGTGATGTTACGGCTGACTCCGGCCACTTGCAGTGAGATCAGCGTCCCTGGTTACCTGCTAACCTGGGACACTGATCTCCAAACAGCAAACTCTCCCTGGCGCCCCGCGAGTCTCCCGCTCCTTGCCGCCAAGGAGAGAAACAGTGCTGTGTCTCGGCTGCCCTCGGCAGCTTCGTGAATAGACCCCTTAGTGTGTCGAGCTGGGATCTTTTGGGGTGGTTTTTTTAAAAAATAATAATGAGTCGCTTATCTCTGAGTTTCTCTCAGGCCAAATATTTACAGTTACAACCTGCTGGTGAAATCTGGTATTGCATCACAATGTCAAATAATATTATTCCTGTGAGCAAGCTGAGGGAAGGGGATCCTAATATTATTTACTTTGTGCCTGTGAGAAGTGGGAGCCTTCAATATTATAAAACATTATTAATTTACATGGGTCCAGTTGCTTCGCAAACTTCTGATGTGTTCCTCTACCCCCATCTCTAACACCAAAACACAAATACACTGTGAACATATTGACAAGTTTAACAAAAAATGCCTTAACAATATCATATTAAATATAACCATAGTGTAATTCAATCCATAATGCAGCTAAAAACATTACTCACCAGGTAATAATGAGTTGGGATTAAAACACGGAATAGTCTTTGATTTTCCCTGTAATAAAGAAGATAAAAACTTGAAGGAATGAATACTGTCAATCAGGTAACAATCTACAGACCTTGGATTGAAGGACTATTTTTTACAATGTTACTATTTATGACATCTCTAGTCATTTTGGTTGGCAAGAGTACAAGGCCATATTACTAATTTTATAGCAAGGACAAGAGATATGAAACTAGTATTAATGTCGTATTTTGTACTACATACTAACCAATATATAGTTATAAGCAGTAAGATTTTTGAATGATTGTATTCTAATCTGTTCTTTTCATTGTATGCCTTTAATGCAATAGGTTCCATGGGCGATCAACCATAAAACATATGTTACTTAAAGTTTGTTTCCAAAAATTTAGTTTTTGTTATGGCAAAATAATCTTCTTATCAGAAATTGCACAAAATTGGTGGTTCAACCAATAAGCAATCATTGTCATCAACCGTGAATGATTGGTATAAGATCTTGGTGTACGATCCAATTTAAATTGAACCAAATCCATATTTTTCTTTGTTCAGTTGTATCCAACTGAAAGGATTGAATTGCTGAATGATCACTCATTCATTATTAGACGTATGTTTCGGCTTTAGTCTAATGCCCATAGTTACTCATATGCCCTAAAGTCTTTTTAAAGACAGCCTAAGGAGGGGTCTCGAGAGGGCGCACACTGCAAACCCTCCAAATAAATCACTATAGAGTCTACTGGTGATGTCTGCTTCACAATTGTGACTGACAGTTGTCATTAGAAGATGCGCACATACCTATTATACTTTCCAGCCATTTCTAAGCCATATAGAAAGCTCTAGATTTTGAAGGTTTATGACTAAATAAATGAATTTAAAAAAATCTGAACTGTAGATTCAATTCTTGTCAAGCACTAAAAATGATGTAGGCATCTTACACTGATACTAAAAGTGGAACTCCAGCCAGTAGTGTTTTGGTTTATTTAGAGTGGGGAAGGTTTAGAATCTCTGCCAGTGTTTTACTTGTTCCTTTTGGTGAGATTTGCCCTCACTTCTTGTTATGGTGACTACATCGGAAGTGAAAGAAAACCTTTCCAGTGCAGACACAGCAACAGATGCATGTTTTTTATTATTTCATTTGTCTTAATGATTTAACCCTAAGGGTGCAAAATCTTTCATTTTACAACTTGTTTTTTAAATGTTGATGTATATTTCCAGGGCAAGCTTAGACCTTATTACTTTTAGTGGTTATTTTTTCACTTTCACTGATATACAGTACAATTTCTGGGTAATTATTACTATAGCTTTTCGCCAATTGTATTTAGTTCATTAATGCTTTTCACAAATGTCATTCCAATTTTTGTATTTCTTTTATCCCTGATGATGGGGTATTTTTTTTGTCCCCTGAAACATGGCTGCATGTTACACTCTTGTGGAATCAATTAAATACTTTTAAACACATAAGACAGTGTTTTGGCACTTTAATTAGTTATATTACATGTGGATTTCTCAATCAGTGTGACCCCTACTTCTGGGAGTCCCCTGCTTTGTGGAGAGCTGCCAAGCCATTAGGATTAGATAATGATTTAATTGCACTGAGTGAAAATTTGTGTCCAGTGCCTCATTCTTTTCCTTTCCAGCAAAATATATATAACATATTTTAGCCCTACCCCACTCTACTAAACGAAAATTATTTTACTGCTTCCTCTGCCTTCATTGGAGGTATTTTCCCAAATGTCATGAATTACAGACAACAAAAGAAGTGAAGGAAAATCTCACCAACTGGGAAACAAGGGGCAATAAAACCCCAACAGCAGTCCCACTTTATCTCCTACTCTGATTCAACTGGAATTGTACTTCAAAACAAGGATTTTTTAGCAAAAACTTATATTTTAGTCTATCAAATATGTCATAGCACAGACTTTCTAAGACACTGTTTTATATGATGGGATTAGTTGCAACAGCAAAACAGAAATTATTTTCAAAAATGTGCAACTGTCACTGCAGATTATGCAGATCACATACTGGTCACTCAGGCCATACCATCTTGGCATGCCAGCTATGTGACCCACTACAGTTTTTTTGGTATTCTATTAACACAAGCTGTGTAAGAACTTTTACTACTGAGAAGTGTGCTTTTTTCAAGTACTAAAATAACTAATCTTGGTGGACATAACTTTTACTATATAGCTAAAAGTGATCTCTATAATGGCCATTCTATAGAAAGGTAATTGATGTTATTGTTATGGAAAATAATAGTGTATTTTTAGCTTGTGTTTTATTAGGCAGAGTATCACCATTGTTCATTTAAACATGACACTAGCTGGACAAAGACTTACTTTGTACTGGATATCCTCAAGAACGTCTGTGATGGCATTTAGGCCTACGTGTTCTTTTCCTATCTAAAACACAGACGAGAAAGGGAATGATAATAAAAACAGCTGCAAAAAAAAGTATGTACTCAATACAATAATAAAAGTGTAACTATAAAGCAATTTTATAGTAGTGCTTGCATATAATCATCTACATACAATTTTAGTAATATTAACTGAACCTGAGCATTTTATTAGTTTCATCATATCACAATTTTAATTATTCTACACAGTCTGCACAGAAATGTGTAATAAAATTCATATAAAAGAATGTTAATATTTTATAGGTTAAACCTTGCAAGAGAACAATAGTTTACTCACGCCATGGGATAGATTTAAGAGAATATCTATTTATATTGTACAGCATCTTTTGGTAGTATTCTATACAATATATATCTAAAAAAAAAACTCCCTTCGTGGCATCTGTAAAGCTGGCCACACACATCAATTTGCATAAGTTTTTCTGTCAAGTATTATCTTTCAATGCAATCCAAAAAGTAAGTAACTATGATAAAAAATTATGAAAGTCTTTTTTTTTTTTAAACTTAATTTAATAGATCTTTCCTGTGTGCCAAAAAAGTTGCAAAAAGACTGTGTGATTTTTAGATTGTAAGCCCTCAGGGGCAAGGCTCTCCTTACCATCTTGTCTTTAATTGTATTGTGATTGTAATGCCTTCCTTATATTGTAAAGCGATGCGCAAACTGTTATAAATATACTGGTGCTATATAAATCCTGTATAATAATAATAATATACTGCACATGCTTCAAACACCACAGACAAAAAGAATCTAAACTTCCAGCCTGTCTGGTCACTTGCTTATCAAGAAAATGGAGTAAATGTAAATAAACACTGCGCCAACCAATTTTGATTTTTCATACATACAATGGAAATAATAAAACAATGAGATTAATAATGCACACACACAATAGGTTGGACTTGATGGACTTATGTCTTTATTTAACCTCAAATACTATGTAACTATGTAATAAGCAATGAAATTAAAAGGTGTGTGCATGTTTAGAAATAAAAATAACACATAATAACACGAGTAATAACACCAAACATGTGCTAAAAGAAAATAACCCTATTTAAGATGATGTGCTAAATATATCAATCCGACATCACTATAAGAGTTTCAAGATCATAAATGCATGTTATGTATAAGTAAATGAGTCCTTTGCCATTTTTTATGTTAGTCACATGCAAGCTAAGCAATGATTTATTATCTCTCTGAGATCAGTATGCATCCTGCTAGAGAGTTCATCTTTCTTTCCCATTAGGCTGGCAACATCTTTGTTGGACATCCTCCAGGGTCAACAACTACTTCCTGGACAAGATGCTGACCCATGGATGACACAGTTATTCACAGTCATGTTAATCCTGGTGCCTGTGCAGAAAATATTTTATACATATGCTACGACATTGTCAGTAAGTAAATACTAGAGGAGGGGAGACTGAGGAAATTATTTCATCCAGCCTGCAGCAGACTAATGTCTATACACTCCTAATGCAATTATCTCAGCCTAGGCAGTCACTTGACTGGAGCTTAAAGCAGAACTACATCCCTTATAGCCAAGGAAGGTGCCATCTTAGCCTCTATTTGGATTGCAGTTGCCATGATGCTGCACATGTGATCATCTATAAGACCAGTCATTTCAGGGCTTGAATGTTAGGCTGAGAGCTTAAAAAAGCACACTGGCAACCGTAACAGCTGGCATGCCTTGAAAGTAACTGTTTTGGGAGACATTAAATTGGTGGGTAAAGTTCCTATTTAAAGTAAACCTATGCTTTGCCCACGCCTAAGCCTCCATGGCGTTCCCGAAGGGGAATAGTATAGAGACTGCCAGAATATACTCCCCAAAGGTTGTACAAGTGTTTCCTAACCTCTTTTTGCAACCAAACCAAATTAGTGTTTTCCTACTTAGAATTTTTTTTTTTACATTACTTTATTCTATGTTTTTGTATATACAGATTTACACAGAACTGAATGTACTTATAGCCAGCTTTACAGATAAAAGGAAAGGGAAACTATTTCATCAAAACAATTTTTTTTTCTATTTTGGGTGTAGGGACAGGGTTCATTTTTTTATGTGTCCTGCCTTCACCTTCTGCGTTTCCTAAGAAATATATGGTGACCTAACAGGAGAGTTACAAGATTCTCAGCTGCAAGACCAACCTCTGATAGCTGTTTGAGGGATGAAGGTGATTTCCATATTAGGAAAGGCAGGGTGACGGATCTTAATTCCACTCCTCCATAAATAGTTACAACAATTATAAGAAAAATATTATTGAGACCAGTGCATTTTATACCTTCATGCTGCTAAACAATTTGCTCTTTGACACAAACTTCAATAGCAGTCATTTGCTCTTCTGGCTACAGCAGTGAATTTTAGTACAAACATTAATTGTTTTTACAGGAATCTGGCACACGTACCTAAACCATTTGTGCTATATGTTTTTATCATAATTATTTCCATAGTGTAATAAAAATACTCACTTGCACAAATAAGGATATAATAGCAATACCATGTACTTGCCCCAAGGCTTCCTCAATATTCCTGAATAAAGTAGAGTTCCAATGAATAAGGTGGAGCTAAAGATATAAAACAATAAAACACAGTAAAAAGGAAAGAACTGTAACATACACAGCTATTCATCATTTAGCTTCACTGCTGCCCGTCCTGCCACCATCACGTATGTCATTACCACATTACTGCACTGCAACACAAATGCGTTGTGAAAGTACTTTGGGATGCACATAACGCACCAAAACACATAACAAGTGTTAATACGCATTGTACTTATGAGCACGTTACCACAACGCAAAGGTGTGAAGGGTATAGGAAGGGCTGGGGTTGTGAGATCATCTATCCTTCTCAAATCACAGAATGCCTCACAGTGTAGCAGCCAGGTAGGACTGAGGCCAGGCAGGACTAGTGGTCTAGCAACCAGGCAGGTTAATACTTTATTTTTGCCCCTAGGGGAAAGCAAGCAGTTATCCCTTGCAGTGCAGGGATAGCCCCACTGAAAGGGTTAATTTTTCTAAAACCTGGAGTTCTTAAAAAGAAGACTACTTAGAGCTGGACTTATGAAAGAATTTGAATATTAACAGGGCTATTCACTAAAGGGTAAAGAGTTTGGAGAAGGCAGGAGAAGTGAAAAATGTAGGCCAAAATATCTGATTTGGAAAAATTCTCCAATTCAGCTCACTTTTCCGTTCATCTATGTTGTTCTAGATTGTTCACTTCTGCTGCCTTCTCCAAACTCTTCACCCTTTTGTGAAAAAACCCTGTTAAAGCCTAACGGTGCAGATTTTGTTTATGAAAGCTTTTATTGTGCCCCCCTATTTATATATATTTTCTTTGTCTGGCTGAAAGGCTCCAAAGTCTGACAGTTGCTACAGTGTCAACTGCCTTACCTAATGATCTCACACAAGTTCTAAAAGCTCATGAGTCTCAAGAGGGCATGGCAGCATCAAATTAAGCAAAGTGTAAACAGCTAGACGTTTCTGCACTATTATAATATTTCAAGACTCAATGCTTAGCTTCTTGCATAGATCCAATTATGTTCTCTGTGCAAGCAGTGAATGATAATCATGTACAAATCCTAGGCCTTGCCATGGCAAAGACCCAAACACTTTTCTTCCATACTGTGACTCATACTCCTGACAATATAGTAGTCTCAAGCAGCAACATGCTTGAGTATATTTGTTTTACTTTAGATCCAGTAATCTCCTCTATACTTTGGAAGATGTCACCTTCCAGCGCTGAAAAGAACAGCTGCCATGTTATGTAGTGAAGACTCTTTTAAATCATGTTACATAACGTTAGATTAGAATCTCATTCAGACATATGACAGCAAAACCTTTATCTATGGAGAGTTGTCCTTCATCTTCTGCCAGTTAAAAAACAAAAACAAATATTGTCACTTGTTGCAGCATTTCCTTCCACTATTTGTTTTGTAAAGATTGTGAATAAATGTTATGCTTGTCACAAAAAATAAATCTGATGCTAAGTGCAGTAATATAATAAGCGCATGCCCTCTTAAATATCACACTCAGAGCAGACAATTATACTCTTATCAAACACACAGAGCCATTTAGCTATTTAAATCAGGAAAGGACCAGGGTTTATTGCATGAAATTGCAGCCAAATATAATATTATGAAGGTCATAAAATAAAAACAAATTTCACCTTACATTAAAAATACCTTTTTTTAGAAGCAAAACAAGGAAACGCTAAGGTGATAGGACATTTGTTTTGTCTATAATTTCTACCTTATGCTTTCCTTCTGGCGCCAATGTAGAATTCTATTGTGCTATTAATGCTAGTCAGGGGCAATCGTAATTCTAAACTGTCGGAAAATAGTCATTATCACTGGGATTTAATAAGATCTTACAAAAAGGAATTCCACACCCCTGTTGCCCCTCTACTCCCTGCTGCCCCAAGGCCGGGCCTTGGTTGGCCTTGTGGGAAATCCGGCTCTGCCTGTAAGTGTTACTAAACTGCAGCAGAGAAATATCTCCTGCTCTGCCAGATAGGACTGAGCAAAGCTGTTTATATCTCAGGAATAGATAGTAAGAAATGCAAATCATTTAGCAGGTAAACCAGTTATTATATATGTACAGTATTTCAACACTTCTTTACTATATATAAAACTGAAAACATGTTTTTACATGTACTTTACACACAAGCTGTTAGTTTAAAGAAAAACTCTGGGGAAAATAATGATTAACCCTTGCTGTGGGGCTACCCCCACACTGCAAGGGTTAAGTGCTCATTTGTGTCTAGGAGGAAAATAAAATCCTCTAAGATGGCTTTCTTTAGACCGGTCCCTAGAGTCCTTCTCCCGCTGGAGAGGTCTAAGGTCCCATCAATCATCATGTTCTATACACTGTGTAAAGGATGTGAGGATGCCGAGGGACATTTAATCGCTGTAGCATAGGAGGAGAGAGGCTGAAGGGAGCACTGTGACATCCAGTTGGCTCAGAGCATTGAGTGAATATAACTTTTTTTTTATTTCCAGCCCTAGATAAAATGAGCAGTTAACCCTTGCAATGCGGGGGTAGACCCAATGCTGTTAATAATCATTTGTTCTAGAGTTCTGCTTTAGGCTGACATTAGCAATGGTACAATGACCAAAGGATCTCCATATTGTATAGAAAACACTACATTGCAACTTGCCAAAAGATGAAGAAGCATTGATCAGTACTGAAAAAGTGTTAGAAATAAGTTAAAGGGGAACTATGAGGTAAGTTATTTCCACTCAGACTCATAGTTAGAGTCGACCTGTGACAAAGAAGCTGTCACAGGTTGGCTCTATCGATCGGGGAGTGAGTGGTGAATGTGAGTCAGGGATTCCCCCCCTGTGACCGCTCCCCGCCGGGATTCCCCCCTCCCCTCTCCGATCCTCCAGCGCTGAGTGGATGAACGAACGGAGGAGGGGGCGAGCACAGCTGGCTCTGCCTCTAGATAAGCAAAGCCAGCTGTCACTCACGCAGCTAGGTGGATTCAGACAGTATTGTCGGGATCCGTCCCAGCTGCGGCGCTCTCATTATATTGCGGGCAATAGCCCGCAATATAACTGCCTGCGATACACGGAGCTTTGGGTTACGTAGGGAGGTTAGTATATGTCCTCCCGTGATCCTAAAGAGAACTATGGGGAAAAACACTTACCCCATAGTTCTCTTTTAAGTTCACTTTAGGACATTGTTCACTGTTGCTAATTAAAGCAAGCTGAAGCAAAACCGCAATGGCTAACAAATCACTTATAATGGTTCTGCCTTTCTGTATCATTATCTTTACTTTTAAATGCAGAAAATCCCTGCATGTATCAATGCTGTCACACAGATCCATAATATGATAAAATCACTAGTCTTATCTTTGCAGCCACCAAATTCCTCTATATCATAGGGGACCTCAGGAGATTCTCAAGGGAAAGAATTTCCATCCGAATAAGATCAGAAATCGTTTTTTTTTTTGCTCCTCATTCACTTAAGAATAGAAAGTTATGTTATTCAATTGTCTGGGTCTCTTCCAAACAACCGCATATATTTTCACATATTGATTGTTTGGCAGTTTCATGAAGTTTTTTTCACGAAACACATCGAGAGCTTTTTCAACGCCTCCCCTATATATCCAGAGATATGTGGAATATTGCAGTCATCAATCATTATAAACGATGATATCTTATCGAATGTTTAAAGTCTTGGTTTCAGAGGCTGAGGTGGTATATGAACTAAAAACGCATTATTGTTTTTATTACATTTTATTGTTGTTTCTAATAAAAAGGATTTTTTAACAGGACTGCAGTGCTGGATGGTAATACTTGTGTGCCTTAAAAGTTCCATATAGTATGTATTTGGGTCTGGTTGTCTAGTATTTGGGGATGTGGCACATCTGATCAACTATTGACATCTATATGAAATAATTTTTGCACATCAGTGTGTATTTTTATGTTGCCCTTAAGTGTCATTAAAAGATCTGCTTCCAAGCTTTATAGTATTTTTTTGCATTAGTATATGTACCCCCTGGGCAGTGCTCAGCTATGTATGCCCTTTTTAACAGATGCTTGTAAATTGGCCTTGAAAACGGCCACAAAAGTTATAAGATTCACCTCCCATTAACTTTGGTAGGGTTTGGCCACTATGTTTGGAGTTCACAGATATCCCGCTGGGTTTGGCAAGCATCCAGCAAAACAAATTTTGCTCTATTCTCCTTAGAGACAATGCTAGCCAAGGTAGGCATGCATTTTTCAGTCTGATCTGAAATTTTAAGCTGGTGATAATTAAAGTTGTATATATAGAAGAATTATATGCAATTATAAATACCACTAAAAAGAAAAATATTTTGAATTTTTACAAGCAGAACATAAAGTATGGACAATTTTGAAACCTGAAAACCTGCAATCTGAGTTCTTCGTTAAGCACCAGTAGTTATAAATTGTACTGTCTCCATAAATTTTTGGAGACTTCCTAAAACAGGATATCTTATTTAATAATTTGATTTTGTGAAGTGGCAAAGCAAAATTCAGTAGGCAAAGTAATAAAAGCAAAATAATGGTTGGTTGCTATGAGTCCTGCAAACCAACGTTCTGTGTACTTTATGATTAAATTAGTCCAAAAGTACCGTATACAACTTAGAATTCACATACCTCCATTGGGAAAGCTTTGAAGTTGACTGTATGCTCTGATCCTCGCTGATTCTCCCTGCCCCAGTGAAATTTTGCTTCATGTAACTCATACTCGTGACCTCGAGGTAGAGAACCACCTGTTAAAACTAAAAAAGGATTGTATGTATATTACATTTAGCAATTGTGTTTGCTTCTTTTTATAAAACATTTAATCAAATAAATGTGTACATAATCTGCACTCAACAACAATAGAACCAGAGTGACTTCCTCCTGTTATGTACACTTGTACATTCTGGCTGTACTTACTTATGCAAATACACTGCAAAATGCAAATACGATTCAGCAACAGGGTAAATAAATACAGAAATACTGAAGACTAGATTACAGTGCACCTAATCTTGAAAATTAAGAACTCACTAACCAATTGTAAAGTGGAGAATTTGTTCTCATCTGCTCTTGAGTTACTCTGGGCCTGGTTTCATGCAGGAAAACTGTAGCTCTTGGCTCCTCATTTTTTCTCATGCTCTAGTAGATGGTTGTTGCTGCAATATGGTTAAGGCAAAAGGAGGGGAGCATTCAAACCTGTAGGCATTTGCTGTCCTGTGGTAGCTCCCCACCCCTCCAGTGATGGCATATCTTAAAGCTCTGCTGAGAGTCAAAAATACTCCCTTGGTAGAACTCTTTAGGAGCAGATGGTTCCTTTTTGTACATTTCTGGACTGAATGAGCTGACATTACTGCACCACAGAGGCACACAGAGAAGACAGTGATTTTCAGGCGGATCAGAGGATCTCATGTCCTTGAATGCAGGCAGACATCTCACCAGAATCAGTTGACAATACTGCTAATCGTGAAGAGTGTCTTGCATATGTAATGAGTAAACTTGGATGCCTTATACATTCATTTAGAAGCTATACAAACAAGCATTTTAAAGCACTAATTTACAGTGATTAGATTTACATGTAGAGTATCACAAATATATAGCTAAACACAGAAGAGGATATTTTCTAAAATGTTTATGAATTAGGAACTGTTTGGTCAGCTTAGTCAATCTTACCACCTTAAAACCATGGGATTTTACAAAAACATTGTTCTAGCCTTTACTTCACTAAAACCAAATGTGTGTAGAAATTAATTAGGCATTAGAATGTATGCAATGCTTGGAAATGCAATCTACATGCTCTGTTTAGCCAAGAGAAAAGAAACGAAGTAGCTGTAAAAGAGATTTTTTTTAACCAATTACAGTTACTAAAACAGCCTCCTCTCTTATTTGAATAGGGTAAAGAAGAAAGATTGGGACGTATAAGATGCAGCATAAAGCCTTACAGTTAAAGTCAATGGCTGTGCGTTGTTATTGGTGGGTGTATATCAGCAGTACATACACCCGCATGTGCATTGTTGTAAAATTTCAGATGCACTTAGTCTATGTCCAAGATTTTATATCCATGCACATGCATGGGTTTATGTAGTGCTAGTATATAACCGCCAACAATAGCACACAGCCATTGACTTTAATGTGAGGCTATGTTGCACTTGGAGGCAGGAATACACCAGGATGTAAGCTGTACGGGGGCCGGTGTCTGTGTGCAAGAGCCTACAAGAAAATGTTTTGGAATATTTTATCAGTAAACAAACATTGTAAAAACCAGAGTCAAAGTCAAGCAGTTAACCTGGTTTTCCAATGTCCACTAATATACCCAGTAAAAAGAAAGCACCCAAATCAGCCAAATGACTCAATACATGCAAAAGCTCAGTATACTGTCCACGCCACTTTGTGTAGTGCTAAAACGAAAAAGGCTGTGGAATTAAACTGGTCCATGCCAGTACCAAATTCTTCATTCTCCTGAGTGGCTCCGCCAAGGCACCAACATAGAGTACACCTGGAGTTTGAATATATGTGCTACACCAGCTATAGGTCATTCTGCTCATGCATTGTAGAATATTTATCTTACTTTAAAGGGAATGTATAGCGTTTATTACAGCATATGTTCTTTTTTTTTAATCATTTTAAGGTCTAAAAAATAACACTTTCTTGTAGTGTGGATACTGGGGAGTGAACTGTGTGTGTTGAACAGTAGATCTCACTGATAGTGTGGATACTGGGGAATGAACTGTGTGTGTTCAATTGTAGCTCCCACTGGTGGTGTGAATACTGGGGAGTGAACTGTGTGTGTTTAACTGTAGATCTCGCTGGTGATGTGGATACTGGGGAGTGAACTGCGTGTGTTGAACTGTAGATCTCACTGCTTGTGTGGATACTGTAGGTGCAAACTGCTTATGTTAAATTGTAGATCTCACTGGTGGTGTGGATACTGTGGGATTGAACTATGTATGCTAAGCTGTAAATTTCAGTGGTGGTGTGGATACTAGGAAGTGAACTGTGTGTGTTGAATTGTAGCTCCCACTGGTGGTGTGGATGCTGGGGAGTGAACTGTGTGTGTTGAATGGTAGATCTCACTGGTGTGTGGATACTGGGGAGTGAACTGCGTGTGTTGAATCGTAGCTCCCACTGGTGGTGTAAATACAGAAGAGTAAACTGTGTGTGTTGAATGGCAGATCTCACTGGTGGTGTGGATACTGGAAAGTGATCTGTGTCTGCTGAAGTAAAAATCTAACTTATGTCATGCTTACTTGTGTGTTTCAAAATCCCAGAAATTAAACAACAGAAAAGTGCTGTGATTTTACCCTTGCCTGTGTGAACTTGTATCCCCATTTATAACAACAAATATAGTGTACATTCTGGCTAATTGAAAAATGTATAGCAATAAAATGTAGCAATTTACTCTTTTGAGGGAAGGTGCATACAAGGACACTGGCCCACACTAATAAACCCTCACTCCCCTACTGATGTGTAACCAAGTTTTGTGTGTCACAGAATCCTATTATTTTCTGAGTACATAGTGCAGCTTTGGGAAATGTATCTGATGCATTTGATTTTCTCACAGAGCTGAAGTGTCAGGATTTTTGTCTCAGCCTTATAATTCCTCAAATCTTCTGTGCAAGGTCAACACTAAAACAGGAATGTAATCTTAGAGTAAATTAGATTTTATGAAAGGCAAGAGGAATGTATTAAGAGCTTATTTTAATAGATAGGTCAGATTATACATAAACAATGAAAATGGATTCAATTGAAATGCCACAGAAATTGAAGCATAAGGAATTGTCTTTGAAAAAGAAAACTCCTTATAGACGAATGTTTTGAAAGCATTCCAGTTATAGAAAAGACTGTAAATCTTGTAATCCTAACCAGGAGTTTAGAATTATATTATGGATGTATGTAAAAGTAAAAGGGCATTGCAAAAATAATCACATAACAATATTTAAACAATATACACCTTATAACTATTATTTGATTTGAAAAGTTTATTATTGTGAAAAATGTTTATATAAATTAAATCATTCAAAACTATAATTCGTGTCAAATTCTCAGTCTTTTCCCTGTTGGAAATTATCTTTCTATTTTCATGTAGAATGGAAAATAGAAAGGTGATCCTGGCAGGCATGTTAAGCCTCTGCATTACTTCATAATGCAAATTATCAGCAATTGTTTAATTCTAGCAGACAGTTTACTTCAACTTTCCAGGTATTATCCCCTAATATTCTATGTTTGATCTGATAATCTCTGAATCCCATGCTACATGATTTTCTGTAATGTTCATGAGAGATTTAACTAGATATCACATCACCCTATACTATTACATTTTGGTGGGTCCCTAGAAATACTGCATCAGCCGCAGCTTGAACGCTACAACATGTGGCACTGACCCCTCACTGAAATTACATCCCAGCTTATGTTTATTCTCAATATGTTGTCTTGATTTGGTTTCATTTTTGTATCTATCTTTTGTATGCTTTCTCATTTATGTACCCCTAATCCTACTTTTGTGTTTCTTTCAGTGTGTATCTCCCTGTAAGTGATATAACATTTGTGCTACTTTGGTTGAATGTCCCCACTTTTAGATTTACTTTTTAGGTGTCATTCTACTTTTGATAGATTTGAGTCTCCCAGTTTTGGCTCATTCCTTATGTGATTGTTGACATGTTTATGTTTTTGCTGATATAAGCTTGCCTTTCTATTTCCCCAGCTATTTTTTTGGCTGTTGGCATCTTCTACAGTTATCAGTTATTTTTATATTCTTCTGTTCATGGTTTATATTTCTTTGATGTGTTCTTCCATGTCCTCTTACGTAAAGGGTAAATTAAATTTTTGTGCATTTTTACTTTCTGTTTTTGTATTTATTACCCCTCACCAAGATCACAGTACCTCCCTGACACTTATGTCACTGCCCTTTCTCACCAAGCATCATCCAGGGGCAGCATCTTCTTCCTAGACTAAAATACTGACCCATAGATGGCAGTATGTTGCATATTCTAGAGTCTGCATTGTAGTCTTTATGTTCTTGGCTGTATGTACACATGTTGTCATGCACAACCCCCTGCTGCTGCATTTTACATTGTTAGCTGTTAGAAAATTATACTGTCGCAATAGTTCATTGAGAGATGATGGGATGGCAGGAGACCTCCTGCCTGTAGCAGATCAATAACTCCATAAAGATATTATTCTTGGGTGTAGCTGCAGGTGCTTGACTATAGAGCAGGGACTGCATTTTAAATATTAACGGTACTGGTTTTATGTTAATATACGAAGGTCAATCAAAAAGTAATGCCTCCATGTCTGTAATTTGAGATCTGTTAGAGTGACTGTGAATGTTCATATACCATGTTATGGAGGTGTCCTTACTCCACTAATGTATGCTTTTCTTTTTCAGATTGAGTGATTGAAACTATAGATCTGCGGCTAAACGTTAAGCTGTAGTCGAATTTCTGGTAAAACAGGGTTGCCAACCTAAGGAAATCCGCTAAATCAGCTAAAGAATGTTTATGGGATGCTGGTGTGGAAATTAGCAATGTGCGGCATTGGGTGAAGAAGTTTCAAGAAGGAGAAACTGAAATTCCACTACAGAAAAGCATACATTAGTGGGATAAGGACACCTCTATAACATCGTACATGAACATTCACAGTCACTCTAATAGATCTCACATTGCAGATATGGAGGCATTATAACCCTCGTAGTTATATATTTTTCCATGCGAGGAATTCTATGCAGACTTTTTAGGCTTCTTTTATACCTACACTTTAGGTGCAA